GCACCAGGCTTAATGGCTTTTTCAAAACCAGTTCAGAACATTTGGTATTACTGGCTTTAGACTGCACCTTAAGATGGAAAATTACACAGGTGGGTAAGTAGTTTTGTAGAAAATTGATCTTTCGTAACAATCCTGCACATTCTGTGGGTGAAAAAAATGTCCCCAGAAAGGGTATTAGTTCCTCCAGATAATTGTCTATATAGCGAGTATTTCTACTCCAGCCTAAAGACATTTCACTAGGTCCTCCTCAGCAACCTGGACTCTCAACAGACATTAACTAGGGCATCTTTCCACATACCTTCTTTGTTTGCTGATTTACATAGAAATGGCTCTTTCCTGCTTTTGGAGGAAAGGCTCCTTTCTGCCTTTGGATAAATGGCAGACAGACTCTTCTCTAGCTGGGGCTCGGTTCCGATCCAGGTTCTTGGAGATGTTTCCCACAAAAAGCCTTCCCTGTCTCCTCGGCGGCAGACATGGGAATCTTCTCAGATTCAGGCACCCATTTGGTCACAAAGAGGCCACAAAGTAGGGTGAGTCTTTGGTTCCAAGTCTGGAAACTGCTATGGCATCATTACTGTTTTCTGTAATAGATTACAAGATTTTAGCACACACTGGCCTTTATTTTTGCACTTTCTGCTTCTGTTTTTATGCTCACTTCTCCACTTTGCTTTGCCCGCCAGGGTAAATCTTAAAAGTCTTTTTTTCTCTCTCTCTATCTCTCTCTCTCTTTCTCCCTCCCTCACTCCCTCCTTTTCCCCTCCCAAACACACACACACAAACACACACACAGACAGATCTACTCTCTTAGCAACTTGCAAATATATAATACAATACAGTATTGTTAACTACAGTCACCATGCAGTACATTACACCCCCAGGATTTACCCTTTCCACATCTTTAAGATATCTATTAATGAGTCAGTCCTTGATTTTAATACAGTCAAATGTATTAATCCTTTATTCTATGGTCAGTGTCTTTTTAAAGGAATTATTTCTACCCACAACATCTCAACTATATTTACCTATATTTTCCACTAAGAGCTTTAAAGGTTTTTGTTTTGGGTTTGTTTTTGGTTTTGTGTTTTGATAGTTAAGTCTTAGGTCCATTTGAAGTTGATTTTAAAACTAAGATCCAATTTAATTTTTTCTGTATGAATAACCATTTTTAATTGAACATTTCCTCTTTTCTTCATTGATCTGTTATGGACTGAATGCCTGTGCCCCCTTCTCCTCCACCTTCATATACTAAAGCCCCCAATATGATGGTGTTAGGAGGTGCAGCCTTTGGGAGGTAAGCTGGTCTGGATGACATTATGAGGATGGAGCTC